CCCTTTACCCAATAACATTAGTTGCGGCATATTCCCCGCCTAAAATACCCATTTCCGAATCCCAAATAATTTCCTTCCTGAATTCCTTAGGACACCATTTCATCCTAGGTGCAGATTTAAATGCAAAACACCAGCAATGGGGAGCCAGATCCACAAATTCCCGAGGGCGAACATTGCTATCTGCACTTAATTCCCATCGCAGCAATATCCTTTCACCTAATACTCCCACATACTGGCCAACAGATCCCAACCGCAATCCCGACCTTCTAGACTTTTTCCTACACAAAGGTCTAGGATCATTACACTGTTCCATTTCAAGGCTTGATGATCTTTCCTCAGACCACAGTCCTATAGTCCTAACCGTTTCCACATCACCCATTCCTAAATCATCCCCTCCTTCATTCATCAGGGGACCAGTTAACTGGAACCTTTTCCGTCAAATATTGGATGATAATATAGACCTCAGAGTTTCCTTAAAAACACCTGAAGACCTTGACGATGCAGTGGACTCCTTCACTACCCTGATCCAGCAAGCAGTTTGGACTGCATCCTCACCTGATCGTCCCAAAAAACACCTCAGTATAAATCCCCTACCCCAAGACCTATTGGACCTTATCCATAGCAAACGATGCTCTAGGGCCCTCTGGCAAAGAACCAGGCATCCTGATGACCGGAAATCGTATAATTATTATTCCAAACAGGTAAAAAAGAAACTGGATATCTTTAGAACCCAATCCTACAATTCCTACCTTTCCTCATTATCATCTAGTGATAACTCCCTCTGGACTGTAACTAAAAAAATCCTTAAATTCCAATCCATTTCCCACCCCCTCCGCCGTGATGATGGTTCCTGGGCTTCGTCAGATGCGAATAGAGCTGAAGAGTTTGCTAAACATCTATCCTACACATTCACTCCTCATCCCGAACTCCATCCAACCCACACTGCTGAAGTTAAAGAATTTCTCTCTTCACCAATTCCTCTCTCTCTACCTCCAAAACCTGTTAACCCCTCTGAGGTAAAATTCCTCATAAACAAATTAAAACCCCGAAAATCCCCTGGATATGATCTCCTCACTTCACAAATCCTCAGACAACTTCCCAAAAAAGCAATCATATTCCTTACCTATCTATACAACTGCATCCTTCGCACAACCAACTTTCCTTTGGTGTGGAAACATTCCATAATCGTGCTGTTTCCAAAACCAGGCAAACCCGTTAATAACACATCATCCTACAGACCGATAAGCTTACTCCCTATCCTCTCAAAAATCTTTGAGAAAATCCTCCTCAAACGCATCCTACCCATACTCGAATCCCACAACATCCCTTCTCATCAATTTGGATTCCGCTCAAGACATTCCACTGTCCAACAAGGCCTTCGTGTTGTGGACCATATATCCTCTGCACTTGAAAACAAGCAATATTGCACTGGTGCCTTTCTGGACGTAGCGCAAGCTTTCGACCGGGTGTGGCACGATGGCTTGCTTTTCAAGCTCAAAACCCATTTACCCCAATCCTTATACCTAGTCCTCAAATCCTATCTCTCAAATCGTTCCTTCCAAGTCCGTTGCTGCACCGAATTCTCCACTTACTATCCAGTTGAGGCTGGTGTTCCACAAGGCAGTGTTTTGGGTCCAGTTCTCTACATCCTTTTCACTGCCGATATCCCTTCAAATCCCGATACCTTCCTAGCTACATTTGCTGATGATACTGCCATTCTATCTTCCCACTCAGATCCTCAAATAGCATCTCTAAACCTACAATCTCACCTCTCCTTGATTGAACAATGGTGCAACAACTGGCGCATCAAAATCAATGAAGCAAAATGCAAACATATTACTTTCACCCTGCGACGCAGATCCTGTCCCACAATCCTTTTCAATTCAATACCACTTCCCTACTCAGATACAGTCCGTTACCTTGGCTTCCTTCTAGACAAAAGACTAACTTGGAACCCACATACAAGACTTAAAAGACAAGAACTTAACCAACGATATGGCCAGCTATATAGACTACTAAGCAGGACATCTCATCTTTCGATTGAAAATAAACTTTTAATCTACAAGACAATACTGAAACCTATCTGGACCTACGGACTTGAACTGTGGGGAACTGCTAAACATTCGAATATCAAACGCATCCAATCCTTCCAGTCCAAAGTACTTAGAACAATAGTCAATGCCCCATATTATGTCACAAATAAGACCCTACACCATGACCTTAACATCCCATTTGTCCTCGACATCATCCCATCCAGATTCTCAAACTTTCACCAGAACCTTATCCATCATCCAAATCCTCTAGCTCAATCCCTATCCAGCTCCCACCATCCCTACAATCCCCCTCGAAGGTTAAAACGGCAGTGGCCGCGAGATCTATTGTAATATGCTTCTGGAGTCCTGGCAATGGCCAGCTTCTCCACTCAAGTCCTGAGCATCTGTGGCTCTAGTGCCCTCCTTCAGCCTCCACTGGCTTTTAATACTAGTGATGCGGCTGGAAAAGTGGCACTGGGATCTCTGGAGTCCTGCTTTGCTTTCCACATGTGGGGAGAGAAGCCTGGCTCGGAGATTCCTGGGCGAATGTATATATTGTATATAGGTATGAATGTGTTTAGAAGTTGTTATTTTATTTTGTTTGTTTATTTATTTATTTTTTTTTTAATTTTATTTATTAATTTTTTTTTTTTTCCTATTGATTTACTTTTTTTTATAAGTATTATTTATTTACTTCTTATATTTATAGTTACTTCTGTATTACTTGTATATACTGTATGAATGAGAACTTCTAGCCTTAATACTTATAGCCCTCCAACAGTGGCTGATTGTATTATTATTCAATAAATAAAAAAAAAAAAAAAAAAAAAATTTTGATGTTAAATTGTTTGGAAATAATAAACTATTATGTAATAATATGCAGAATTTTTTTCTTCATGTTGTTGACTGTATCATTTTTAACTACACAGAAGTTTCTCCTACTTCAATGTTACTAAGACTGTTGAACAATAAATTATTCTTGAAAACTAAATTTTTATACTAAAGCTATAATTAATTGTTAAAGTAATATTCTTGAGGTTTAATAATTGTTTAAAAAATAATTTCTAGTGAAAGTAGTATAGTAAGTGAAATTAGTGTGATGCACTGCACTAGATTTTATAATTTTTTTGTTCCTAGATTTTAGAAAATTATAGCTTAAGACATACTTAGAACATTGTACCAATATATCTTAACCAAATATTTCCAGAGGTAGGAGTTTTCATTTATAGGAGTTTTTTTGCTTATTGCCCTATAGTAGTTCCCAATAAAGCTATTTGCAAAATTCTAATTGAGGTATACAGCTCTAATACATGTAGTAAATTACCTATGAAGGGTTAAAGGTTTCCCGAAGTGTTAAAACCATACCATACCATAATCATGTCTTCAATGATTTTTGTTCTTATATCAATCCTCTCCTGTGTTTTCAGAACTGTTTTATACAAAATCAACTTTCTTACATCCTAGAAAAACATTCCTTCACTAACATATTCTAATCTGGTAATCCTGAATATAACATAACTCATGTTCTTTAAAGCTTTATTGAACAAACTCGTCCTTTATCTGCTTTAACAAAAACTCCTACCTACTTTATCCTATAGTGCCTTGTGCTTGTTCAAATCATTTCTCTCAGATCATTCAGTATGTAGTCATCACAGGTCAACCTCTCCATCAAAGACTCTCTCTCTCCACTGATGTCCCTCAGAAGTCATATCTATTCTATATCCCTCAATGTTTCATATTTATAACATTGACCTTATCCTCTTGATCCATTTCTTTCAATACCATATCTAATAAGTAAGGTTCCTATCACCTCCTTATGATTTCCATCTTTCTACAACAGTAGTTAAAGGTACCACTTTGTTGGTACTGCCCATGGATGCCCCAGTCCATTTCACGCTGCCAATCGCTATTTCGCTAGAACTGCTCACTGGGGCTGTTATAAACTTCAAAGATAAAAAAAATGCAATTACTATTTCTTATTACCGCTTTTTTATAAGAAGAGGAAATGTTGATAAGGAGACTGAATATCAGCAATATATTCCGAACAAGAAAGCGGGAAGGTTTTTATACGAAATTGATAACTACCCATTTGATGGCTGATGAAGAAAGTTTAGAATTTTTTTTAGACTGAATAAATGCCGATTCAATTTCGTTTTGAGTATGATAGAAAATGATATAGCTGAAACTACAGTTCAGGATACAATTAAACATAAAGAAAAATTATCAGTAACTTTAAGGTAATGACGTAAAGACTACAACTAAGTTCCAGTTAACTCATAAAATAAAAGTTGCATGACTTTGATTTTGTTTACCATTGACAAGCTGAGGAACAACCAAAAAAGGCGAGAAACACCGTACTGACAACAATAGTATCTCTGATTTTAAATCTATTACATATTATTAGTTTGAAAAATAATAGTAATTATTAAATAATTCATTAATAATAAATATCATATATTTGTAATGAAATCACAGCAGGCGATGTTTTATTATTTTATCAATAGTAATCAGTAAATCAGCACTTTAATTAAAAAATACAAATCGATTTTTTGATGTGTGCATTTTAGTATTTATCTGACCTTAAATTTGTTGGGTTATTTAATGTTGTTTGGATTTGGGTATATTTGAATTTCTCTGTAAAATACTGTTGGTGAAATAAATACATAGTCTTATTACTTCAACCTTAAAAAAATTATTTACTATTGTGGTGTTTAAGTTTTAAACAATATTTCTTATAATTTTACCAGACCTGATTTCTTATAATTTTCCTTTCTATTCCATTAAAGCAGTCGCTGCCGTGGGCAGTACAAGTGAAATAGTACCTTTAGACTTATGCAGTAAATAAGGCAAAGTAGCTGGCACTTATATTTCAAGCATGATAAATTTGTTCTATATAAATTTCATTACAGAATTTTTGAGATATAATTAGAACTGATTATCTTTAATATTTCTCTATTGATGTTTTAGCTACGAGCATTATCTGAAGCTTTGAAGTGCTGTGTTGAAGTAATTCAATCCGAAGGACCATCCATGATAGTTGGAGAAGAGTATTTGAAAGCCGGAGGTTCAAAACTTATTCTTACATATCATAGGCGTATGTATAGCCTTGGCGAACATTACAATTCTGTACAACCCTTTTGCCAAGATGAAGAGGAGAAATTAGAATAAACTTAATCATTAAATTATTTTCATGTTTGAATTTTGCTTTGTAGTTAAATTCATTTAATATGTACAACTTATATTGTATAAATACAAATTAAATATGATTTCTTTTTATCTATTTTCCCTTTAAAAATAAAATAAAATAAAAAAATAATTTAAATACTTATGATACACAGGGATATAATGAGTAATTTACTAGATATAAAACAATTTTTATTAAATTCATGATGGAAGGTCTTCATTCAGTTTTCCCTTACTTACTTCATCAGGTTTCATTGCTGGGAAAAACAGTACTTCCTGAAATGTAAAAAGTCGAATTAGAAACTATTATGTAATCTATAAATAAAAATCTGGCGCAGTTTGCATATCACACAACTTTCACTTATCAACCTTAAAGCAGATTGATTGAAGCAGGGAAGTCAAAGTGAAAATGATCGATATTATAACTTCATTTAAAACCATGTTTATACCACTCATCGAATCTGTTAAATTTATATACGTTTGCATCACTTTTCATTTCGCTTTACGGCTGTTTAGTGTCAAAGAATACTAATGCTTGTAGGGAAAAATGGGTCTTTTGGAAAAATTCTGAGTTTTATAGAAAACATTTAGCACGAAACTTGTCGAAAAAAATAACTTAATGTTAGTAAATATTGTATATTATTAGATACATGAAAAAAAAATTATGGATAGTAATACATTAAAGTTAAATTAACAACTGTAAAGGATCTGCAAAGTGTGGGTGCTCTCAGCTGTAATAATAATTTTGAAATTGGACATTTAAACACTTAGAGAACATCAATAAGAATAAGACCTATATTAAATTTTAAAAACACTAATTTTACACTGATACAATGAATTTAATCAAAATCATTAGAGCTGTTTTCGAAAAAAATTGTAAAAACAAAAAATCGATGACATAAAGTGGCAGTTCCGGTTAGCAGTTTTTGACGAAAAAGTGGTGGCTTTAACATCTTGCGCATGAACAATCCCTAAATACGCAATTTCACTTGCGTACAACTTTTGTTTTTAAGCTGGACTGTTCACATACATACACACACTCATACAGACCACTTTGCAGGACTTGGCTATTTGGACTCTTAAGACCTCAAAACATGTATTTCCAATGAAAACTGAGATTCAAAAATTTTCACGGTTGCAATACTTTCCTTTACTACATATTTCATATATAGGTATGTGAAAGTAAAAAGATATGAGAGGGGAAAACAAATTTTTAAATCAATCCTTTAAATACATATAAATAGAAAATAAAGATAATGAGTCAAGAAAAAAATTGAACATATATGTTAAATAAATAAGGAGCTTAAAGATTTATACACAACAATAATTACATACATTTTAAATATTGCTTATTACTTGAATATAGAATAAAAAAAAATCTGGTGTGTCCACTCCTCACACAACTTTCTTACCTATTTCGGAAAAGTTTTTATATGTCTATCAAGAAAAACAAAAATAATTGAATTAGATTTGTTTTCCTGAAAATTGATCAAAGAAAAGATTTGAGTACGATTTATTTGATAAACTAAAGCAAAGTAAACCAGCTTAAGGTAGATCGGTAAAAACATTTCAATACACTCTAATATTGCTGATCAAAAACTTTTTGCCATAAGCTAATTTTGTCAAACAATAATTTCTGTTAAAAGTAGAGGTAATAGTATAGTAATGCTTTTGTGATGCAGGCAACAGATTTTCTTACTTTAACTAAGTTATCTTTTTTCTCTCATTCTTCCCTTTTTAACACCAGTATATGTACCCGTAATCTTACATTGGAAATTGAATAGCTGTAACTTCGTTAATAATTGTCTGAAATGAACACATTCTCCCCGCAAAACTTAAGGAGACAGCCCTGATGAAGGCCTGAACTTCAGGTAGAAACGTCGGCATATGTAAAAATAAATATTATCATTTGTTTTTGCCTTCCTTTTTGACTGACTACCCCAACTATTCTTCTCTTCATTATCCACGACAGTCAACCAATTACCAATTATAAAATCAAAATTGTTTAACCACCTAGCCTCAAGATTGAAAATGGGAAAAGAACATTTAAAATTTCCTCAAGGGTGCAGAAAGGTGGAGCTTTTACCCTATTTATTAAAAAATTTAGTTAGAAAAAGATTAAGAAGCAAAATTACTTAGTTCAGGCTTTTTTTTTTCTCTTCCTCACCTTTTAGGGTTATTCCGGTCCAGGGAGTGAGGGTGGGAGATTAATGCTAGAGTTAAAAACCCACCGGCAGTAGGATGTGAACTCATAGTTATTTTATTGTCTATAAGTTTAGTTATCAGGCAACACATAGTGCTGTCGAGCTGCCCCTAACTTAGTTCAGGTTAAAGGTAGTTTCCTAGTCATTGATTGGTCCATCTTGAGACACTTTTATACAACATTTACCTGTAACCTGTACTAAACACTATAACCCAAAATGGGTCTTAGATTCAAAACCTTGTTAGAATAAACCTTTTCTGAGCCAACATTTGTGCAAGAAGGTGGTGGTATGGTCAATACCACATTAAACCACCAAGTTTGTGGCACAATCAAGGGTACCAACTAGGTGAAGGCAACAGGAAGGTCTCCCAACCAGAGGGTTGATAAATGGCTGATCTGGCAGGATAAATAATTATCTACCACAGCCTTACTCCAACTTGGGCCTATGCGAAAAGAGCACAATGCCTTATGGAGGTCCACTTGGACTGATCACCCTGGTCCTTTTTAATAAAATGTAAATATAACTCAATAAGTAGCAAGGTGGCCTGGTCTGAACCAAACGCTTTTCCCTCGGCAATTCAAAGCCATTGCCAGTTGTGTCGATATAACATCTCTAGGTGTTTAGAAGCTGTATCTTGTTTTTAATCAATTGTTAACCTACTACTGAGCATCCATTGTGAGTTGTTGACCATCAGTGTACTATTTTCTTGCAGAACACACAATTTCTAATACATTCAAAATTCTAGGAAGACCCTTTATCTATTTAGTTATAACTACATTTGGAAGGCAGGCAAGGTCGGTCCAAGTGGGCACCCTACTTTTACTCATTGGCTATCCCACTCCTTCATATCGTTACAGAACTATAAGATTTAAACTGCACATTTTAGTAATTTTGTCTTGAAATCAGTGTAAATAATGAATTAAAATATAGCTGAGTTTATTAAATTTCTATTTAATATTCAGAATATTACCACAGTTCACATTTATATTATAATATCTCAATATTAATTACAAATAAATATGTTTAATATTTACCTTTATGTTATTGGAATCTGTGAGAAACATTGTAAGACGGTCAATACCAATTCCCCAACCTCCAGTAGGAGGAAGGCCATATTCCAATGCAGTGCAAAAGTTTTCATCTACAAGCTGAGCCTCGTCATCTCCAGCAGCTTTGTCCTAAGAACAATAATCATGTATTATTAATACTTTGACTAACTCATATATAAATGAAATATATAGTAAGGGAAAATTTTAAGAAAAAATTTGAATCCTAGTTTTAGATTAGATGGATAGCAAAGGTGAAGAAATTTGTCTCTTGAATATCTCGAACTTGAAGCACTAAAAGACAAGTATATTATGGGAAGGGATGATTATTATAGTTATATCCTATTGCAATGTAAGAGATAATAAATAAATAAGCTCTTTTCAAGAATTGTCTAACAAAAAAGTGAAGAGCTCTTTATCTGCTTCTTGTACCTGGGAAAGGTCTTGGAAAGAATCAGAAATGAGAACATAGAACAAGCTCAGCTGAAAGGAAATTAGATATTGGCACAAAGAGTTTAAGACGATACAGGAAATAGATCTGAGCTCTTAGAAGAGCACAGGAACCACCTCCATCTTACTCTTGTCAAAATAGTAGCCGGTTTGCTACTCATAGCCGGTACCTACAAAATAATGTAAACATATAAGAAGAGCTATTCAATATCAACATGATTAATTACTTGGAAAAAACAAAATGCACGAAAGTAGAAAGGCAATCCTGCATAAGAGCAGGTCCAGAATTTCATGTATTTAGGTGTTTGCTTCACTAAAAGAGGATGTATCGATCAATAAGAAGATATCATTCTGACTGTGAGCAGTTGAATACATTTTTCATTCAATCCAATAAGGTTTCTCAGTAGACATGAGATAATCAAGAAGACAAAAATGTTGTATAGGTTAACATTTCTGTTCATTCTTCCCTACTGTTATAGGTCATGGATCCTCACTTCGACTTCACTCCAAAGACACATTATTTATGGCAGTGCCACGTTTCTGCTGATTACTTGCATTTCCATATCAAATATTTTATGTCAACTTCATCAGTGTTTTTAATGTCTAAGCCAATTACATTTTCTTATAAATATCTTTTAATGTTTTATGATTATCTGGTTATTCAGTTTCATTATAAGGTCAATTAAGCCAAATTCTGAGCATCAATGAAAAAAAAAACTAACTCAAGTAGAATTTGTAAGTCCACAATGTTTAGATAACATTTTAGGAAAATGCAGCCACTTTTTTATTTTGGAAAACATTGGCTTATATTTAATCAAATTATTAAGAAATATTTAACCAAATCAAGAAAACATTATGACAATTAATCATAGTTTTAAAAGACTTAGCTTACCTTAGCTTGATCTTCGAATCTATCTCGTTGCACCATTGGATCATTTAATTCAGTGTAAGCATTGCAAACCTCTTTTTTCATCACAAATAGTTCAAATCTCTCAGTTAAACCAGGAATTGAACGATGCCATTTAGCAAGAGGAGACATTATTTGTGGGTGCTCCATTATAAAAGTGGGATTAATACACTTCTCCTCCAAATATTCTCCAACTAACTTTAACAAAAAAAAATTAGTAAGATTTCAAACAATTATTATTTTATTAATTATATAATTCTTCTATATACAGCTATTTAGTTAAAACATCTTTTTAATGATTTTTTCAATGTAATGCCATCATAATATCGTTAGTTTCAATGTCATTGTGTTATTTTATTATTGGGTAATTTTATACACGATTGATGGTTCATTTTCTATTCTCAATAATTTATGACTTGCTAGTATTTTAATGATTTTAAAAAAACAAAAAATCTATTTAACTTTGCTGAAAAGTTGGGATTAGTCATTTATGCAGTTTCAAACTGAGACCAACAATATATTTACATGATTTATTTATTTTTTAAATTTAATTTGAAGAAAGGTGTATATAATACTAGTAAAATAATGAAAAATATTAAAATTTAAAAAAAGCTACAAATGAAATGATATTGGTTATTACCAAATAGAACATTAAAATCAAAATAATAATATATTAAATTTAATAACAAAACTCTTTACATATAGTAACTAATCACATTTTTCCGAATTAATACCACCTATCAATGCATAGCATGAGCTAAGTAAAAGAAATATATCAGTTCTGGGAACAAACTCTAATTACCTCTCATTCCAATAATACTGTGCAAACTGTTAGATGGTTGATAGTCTACTATTAAGAAGTTGAAACAAACTTGTCCCACATCAGAAAGCAGTGTTCAAAAAACCCTCATGAAGACTTAGAGCTAGGCTATGACTGTAGAAATGGGGGAAAATAAAGAAATCTTATCTGGACCAACAGATAAATTATGCTAGCTGATTAAAGTTTAAGTTGTTTATGACCCATCCTTCCCCCCTCCATCCCCTATTCTCAGGTAGATGTAGTTTATTGAGATTCCATCTGTTATGGTGATTTTTTTACCTTGATTGTGTAATTATTCTTTAATCTACTATCTAGCATAAAAAATATTTAATTCAGGTCAAATCACTAATGTTTTAATAGAAAATGAACATTTTATGTAAGTGCATTAATTAATAAACAAATCATATTTACATTAACTACCAGTATAAACATTATTTTTTATTTTTTTCACCTGCAGTTTATCTTGGTTATAATGTTTAACCAAATTGACAATTTTAAAAAATCATTGATAAAAACATATTGTTTAGGTTCTTAGAGATAACCGTTTCTTCTTTTGTTGACGTTTCATAAGAGTTGATGATTTGGCCGCCATGGTGGCATCAAACAGCAAAGCCGGTCTGAAAGCAGAAGCTAAACGATGTGCCAGCTTGGTAGGAAGATGGTGCGAGAGAAAGTTGAAGATGGCTGCCACAAAGACCCAGGCAATTCTCTTGAGGGGCACGACTGACAGGGCTCATCATATTATGTTGAGTATAGAAGAAGAAAGGGTATGTCCAAGTGAGGTTGTCACCTACCTTAGCATAAGAGTTGGTCGAAAATTCAACGTGACTCCTCACTTGGACTATATGAGAACTAGAGTTACAATGGCCATAAATGGACTCTGTCGTGTCGGGGGACGCCTTCTGAGGTCTGAGATACCCAGCTATAATGACTATTTACAAAGGAGTAGTTTTGGGTATTGTGATATATACGTCTCCAGCCTAGAACCTAAACCTCTCGCACACACAGAGGAGTAGGCTAGCATCGATTCAGAGATTGGCTCTACTTCGAGTCACTTGCGCCTATAGAACGGTGTCCCATGAGACAGTGCAAGTACTGGCAGGGAGGACACCTCTCGATCTCCTCCTGAAGACTATTACTTCTTTAAAATGAAAAGAGAAGGTTTGACGGATCTACCGGAACATCTAAAGAAGAGAATTCATGAAGACCCAAGAAAATGGAAAAGAATTATCAGGGACACAGTTGATGAATGGAACCAGTGATGCATGCCAAATCCTAAGGGGGCCACCTTAAGAAAATATTTCCCCACGGTCAAGTTACGATTAGACGTAAGATGGGTCTTCCCAGATTACTGGGTGTCTCAACTCCTCACGGGACATGGGGGCTTTCGAGTGAAGCTTGTTAAACATGGGAAGAATATTGATCTACTATGCCCCAACTGCAACGTTCCGGAGAATGACGAAAATGGGGTCGTGGAGTGCACTACCTATGTGGCACTGAGAGAGACGGGTATATATACACTGACAGAGAGCATGTTCTCCCAGCTAATGAGCAGAGAGAATTGCCCACATTACAGGGAATTTGTATACGGGTGGAAAGATGATGTAGGTCTATACATTTTAATCTGGGAAGAAGAGAAGGAACTTAAGACAAGCTGCAGCAACTTTGAGAACCGGCTTCAGATGGAAGAATGGAGAAAAGGAAAAACGTGAGCTTGTGCAAACAAACAAGTCTAAACCTCAGTTTTCACAATAACAATTATAAATAATAAATGTTAAACAAATTTTAATAAAATAGACCTATACTGCCAGCAGTGGCATATGCATATATCCTGCATAATACCCCACTGCTGCTACAACCCGTATTGTCTATAAGGCAAGGCAGGGAGAAAAAAACAAAAACAACCGATGTTTCACAAGAAATAGTAGTGAAGGATAGGAAAAGTAACCTAGTATATTAAATTTTAATATTAGATGTAATTAATTTCATAATTAACAACTCATCATATAAATTCTAACCGCCTAACTCAATTTTTCAACTTTAAAGGAGGTATAAAAAACTTTTTGACTCTTTTCATAATTTATGGTATATTTCAATCTCAAGTGTTTTGGAATCAAATTTATGCGCGCAATTACATTAAATAAAACTTTTTCCAAAATGACTGAGTTGGTGTGCCAAATTTTGAATTTGGTTGTGTGCCTTTGGCACCCTTTGAGTTAAATTTCTTGGGGGAAGGAATTAGCCATCGTTATTTGGGTAGATGGACACAACCTTGGTTAAAATTGACAGTTCAGAAGTGTTAAAATTGACGATATAGTTTGAATTCATAAACAATGTTAAGTCCAAACAAACCTATGTAATTTGTGCACCAACAAATAAGTTTCTATTAGCTGATGATATAGCCTTACCCATATTATTTACAATGGAGGAGAAACCTAATATTACTTTTGTAGCTAGTTTTTTCACCAATTGCAACAACTATATTGTTCACATGCAAAAGTATGCTATAAAAAATTGGATAATTTTTTACTTACCCAATTTTTGCATCAAGACCCTTAATTTGAATAATTTATAGTTAAAAGATAAGAAAAAACCTTTTCCATCCAATTATTATTTTTAAAGTCAAATTTCTCAAAATCAATATTTTTCAAATTAAACCTAATTCAAAAATGATTCAATTAATTTGATCCTGATTGGCTGACCTATTACGATTTATTTATATATTAATCAAAAAAATGCATTTATACTAATTAAAAAATTTACTTGAGTTAAGTTCTGCAGCTTACTTTGTCTAAGAGCCGAGCAGTAGTTTGAGGTGGAGAACATTCTACTCCATGCTTCTCACAAAGGGCTTTCAATTTTGTTTGTGCTTCCGGTGTTGTAAGTTCAGAGGGAGATGGTAGCTTTTCTCCTAATGCTTCCTCAAGAGCAGGAAACATATAAATTCGTTTAAATGGGGGTGTGAAGTCTATTATTACTTCCTCTCCTTCCTCTCCATTTGGGTGGTAGGTAACTTTATAGGAACCATGAATAGCTTTTACCATACCTTAAATAAAAACATACAAATACCGTTTAAAAGACTAATAAGAACAAATCAATGCTTTATAAATAAACCAAAATTAAAACTTAATTTTATTTTTGTTGTTTCATTATTAATAAAAAGGGGCAGACAGAGCTTAGTTCTAACAAGGACTAGATTGAATAATGTATTAAGTCCATCTCACCTAGAAAAACCTCACCTGCTCCACACAAAAAATACACCTAGGAATGGGTTTGTCTATGTACAGTACTATTTTTTTTGTACTTGTGACTTAGCTGGTTGGGACGGACTGCTATCCACCAATGTTTATAACCTGTACACTGATAATTTTGATACTGATAATAACTATCTTCGTATTCATATTTAAGGAAATTGAAATAAACAAAAGCAAATGTAATAATAACAAAATACTTTTATTTTACATTTTATTTATTTAGGAAGACAAAATACAACATACTTAATACATCAATGTCTATTCATTCATACTTTATATATATACATTGTAATGTGCACCTTTATTGGAAGTGAGTAAAAAGGTTTTAATAAATTAATGTTGAACAATTAAAAGGCAAGCTAATCTAGTTCTACTAGTGCCGGGAAAAGAAATTGATGGCTGCTCTGTAGTTTCCCATGAAGGAAAATCCCAAAGAGGAGAGGGACAAGGGTTTTTGTTTTGGCAAGCAGTTGTGTGGCTACAGTGAAGAGAGAATAGGAGAAGGTATCCAGGCTCCTGTGGGTAAAACCCAGTAATAGTATTACCATCTTGGAAGTTGTTTGAAAATAAAAGAGAGAGGATCTCCCATGGAGCTTGAGTTGGGTAGAAGATAGTGTCACCAATTTGGAAGTTATGTTTGGAAGAACATGTGAAAATGTTAGAAGACAAATGAATTCAGTGCCACAAAGGATAAGCAGTGTATATAGAAAAAAGGTCAGCTTGCCAATCCATATTTGACTTTATTTTAAAATCAAAGTTTAGTAAAGTTAATTTTAGTAGTTTGTCTGATTGTTAGTATGATTGTCAGTAACCCATACCTGAGATAAATAAATATATTAATACTCTTATAATTTTGTTTACTATTATAACAACCTCTTATTTATTTTGGAAGTACCCCAACAGTATAAATTGAGCTTCTACAAGATCATATTATTATTTGTAAAATATAAGAGAGATGTTACAATATATATATAACAAATATACATATAAAATACTTTTATTTTACATTTCATTTATTTGGTAGGCAAAATAGCTTAATACTATTTAAAATAGCGTGGAACGGGTCCTCTTTTCTGTGAGTCCGCCGCCACAATATTAATATATATTCTGTATTTGTGACTTGTTCTAAAGGGACATTAGTCCCAGAATAATAAAATTATTTTCATTCATTCATTCACAGAAATAAGAATCCATGTGTTGCCTCACAGTTCCTCAATGTTTTTTTTTTTTCTCCACTTAGCTGAGCCCCATGATTGTTCTATGTGTCGAGTATGGACCCCACTTGAAGGATCAACATAGTTATAGCGGTGATTCACCTGGAAATGGTTATACTTTACTTCATTCAGTTGTTGGGTGTTGTATCCTTTCTGACAGTCAGAATATATGGTGCTTCTCTCTTCTATATTATTTTTAATACATTCTAATAAAATTGTTGCTTTTCTGTCCTTTATTTTTACCATAAAACACTCGTCTGTTTCTCAGAAAACTCAGCCAAACATCTATTGTTCAGGGAGAACACTCCCTACATGATTTTTTTCTTTTAGGAAAAAGACTTGTCTATTTCAACCACTTTTCCAGTCTCTCAGATTTTTTTAGTTGACCTGTATAACATGCTATGGGCACAAACCTGTCTTAAAAATCTGTTCCACATGACTACACTTTTGTTGGATAATATCATCTGCTCTTGGCTCCACTGGATTGTTGTTAAATTATGAGAAAGGACATAAATTAATTTTAAAGACGTTAAAAGATGATCCTTGACACCTCTAACCACGTTCCTTTTCTTATAGATACATTTTTCATATTGCTATTGCTATGAAAACATCTCCATTTGGTCTTCACGTCAAACTTTATTTCATGACCTTTTTCACAGAATTTCATCTTTGGAATATTAAAAAATAAACAAAACTGAAAACAATTGCAAAACGCACAAGTAACGGAAGAATAATAAGAGGTTACACTAGATATGAAGGGAGGTTCCATCTCGACCAGCTAAGTCACAAGTACCTATTTTTATACCCACAAATAAATATGCCCAGACCATAAATATATCAGATATTATTATTCTGAAAACAGCCATTATGATGAGGAATATATGAATCCTAAAATAACAGACTGGGAATCCTATCATAAATAACTAAAACGGCAATATGGAAATACACGATTTGAGGTTCTCTGAGTCCAAATAACCAAGTCCCGCAAAATGGTCTGTGTGTGTGTTAACAGCCTAGCTCAAAAACAAAAAATCCTACAGAAATGAAATTACATATTTAAAGTTTTTATATGATAGGGATGTTACAGCAACTTTTTCGTCAAAATCGGCTAACCAGAAGTGGCACTTCATATAATGGGCTTAAGACATTTTTACGATTATCTCAAAAACCACTTTAACGATTTTGATTAAATTCATCATATCAGGGTAAAATTAAGCAATTTTAAATAAAATGTGGTTATTATTCTGATTATGGCGATAATTGTATTCTCTAACAGGGCTTAAATGGCTAATTTTCAATATCAACTTCCTCTAAAGTACCTTTAATTTTATTTATTTGAAACAATTGATCACTTCACATAAATTTCTAGTATGGAAAATAGTGAAATATAAAATATGAAAGAATTTGATAATTAACTAAAGGGGAAATAAGAGATCGTAACAGAGAATAATTGTAATGATGTAGAGATGGTTGACCGTTGATATAATATGAGAAGCAGTTAATTGGGGGAGTGCGGTCAAATAAATACTAAATTAAACAGATAGTAATTATTTAATTTTTCCCGACGTCGAACCACACATTTGACTTTGACAACACCACCATTCTTGCCACAGTACCTAACCATGACAAAAGACTACTTACGGAAAGTGTTTTCATTCAATTAGACTACAAACCACTTAACTTAAAAACAGACAAGCAAAACCTGTCCCTTGCCTACTCCCAAATTATCAACATTTTAAAAAATTCTCAATCATAAACCTCTATCAAATCTTCTCACTTCCATTTATAGTTCCTTTTACTTCTTTTCCTTTCACTTTTTACATGTTATGTATGCATGTGTGTATATATGTATATACGTGTATGAATACATATATATATATATATATATATGTATGTATTTATTTGTACTAGAGCCTTTTTTTTTTACACTGCCAGTGTTTCAACTGCCTCCCACAGTGCTACATCCTACGGTATGTTTTGACTTTTATTGTGATTCTTTTCTTAACACACCTATCCTTCAACTATACACCTTATTATTATCTTCATGCAGCCTACTATTCCATTACCGCTTTAAAAAAACTGAATGTCAATTGCCATCTATATATAGTACAACTTGTTTTTTTGTTTTTTATCATCATAACCTTGTTTTACATTTATACATTCTAAAGTTCTCTTTCTAAAATTATTGTTTTCTTATAGAGTAATTTATACTTAATAATCTATCCTAACGATATTACACTAATGTTATCCTATTAATCTTTCAATTTCTTCACTTCGTAACCTTTAGTCCCGTTATCTGTTCCCCTACAATCAAATGTAACCTCCACTAGCTTGTTATCCACTGATATCTTATTATTATATTATCTTATTCTTATTTTAATTTTACTATAACAATACTTATTCAATTTTCAATCTATTTATTTGTTAACATTAATTTTCTTTATCTGTTATCAAATGTAATCTCTATTAGTTTGTTATACACTTATTCCTTATATTTTATCGCAATCTGTTTACTTTTAACTTACATGCTATATTCTCCTTTATTTTCTATTTTTATTCATACTTATTTTCCATTTGTTTGTATCTTCTACCTATATAATACTTGATATTTTAAATACATTGTCACCTACTATATCTCTGATATCATCTTTTTATTTCTGTTTCTGACAACTTATTCTTATTTTATATCTTCTTATATTCATTTATTTTATTTTCACCATGTTTTGTATCTTTTGTAACCCTGAAGACGACCTGCAAAGTGGGTCGAAACGTTGGCAAAAATTAAATAATAACTATCTGTTTAATTTAGTATTTATTTGACCGCACCCTCCGATTAACTCCTTCTCAGAGAATAATTGTAATTGAGGAACCAAGGAAGACGAGCGCATACATTTTTGAGGTGTGCACCCAAGCTCGCCCGAAAGATTAGAACACGCTTCCATATGTATCATGAGATTAATATAATACGGACTCTGACAATTTTATATAAATATGCATATGTGGCTTTCATAGGGCTTAAATATTAAATAAAGTTAAGCAACACCAAGCATGGTTACAACTTGGATGGGTTCACCAGGAAAAGCCACGCTGCCTGAGAACCGCCCCCAGTTTGTGAAGCCCGTCAGCCTACTGGAGGCAACTCACACCGACCGGGCATAGGACGGATGACCCTACCCCCGTGTACTTAAAATCAGGAATTGGGATGTGGTCTAGAAGACCACATCTCGCGGTCAAAGATCTACAAAGTCTGTACCAACTGAAAAAAAAAAAAAAAATGTGGCTTTCATAAATGCTATTGTTGGTATTATTTAATATTTAATTGTATAGATTACAGCGATATAAACATTAAAATTTGAGGTACTTATAAACAAAAATACCCACAATGAAATATAAATAAATATAGTCTATAATTTTTACTTTTGTTTCGCTTTGTCTGAAAATACTTATTTCTGCTAAGACGTGGTAAGTGAAAGTTGTGTGATGCGCACACCGCAACAGATTTTTTTGTAAACAGATTGTATGTTTAACAAAAAAAAAATCTTTATTATTCATAAATATATATTTGAAATATGTGAGCTTATCCTTGTTCTACTAGATGTGGCGAACAGAAGGTTAAACTCAGAAATCCAACAATATTATTTCATCATTTTCAATTCAAACAAAGCATCAAACTGAACAACGTTTATTACAGATTAGGCAGTGAGACCCATTTATCTATCTTCACATAAAGTAATGGATATGTAATAAAACTAAAAGTTAATACCTGATATTAAGTCTTCAGTAATTTTCACAAGATCATTGTAATCAGCATAAGCCATGTAGAATTCACAGGTAGTAAATTCCGGATTATGTGTGAGATCAATACCTTCATTTCTAAATTGTCGACCAATTTCATAAACCCTATCAATACCTCCAACTATTAGCATCTAAAATCCAAACACATTCAACTGACAATTAGATAAAAGGCTTAAAGTAGCAAGAATATAACAAGCCATATGGCATACATTTTTCAGTACAGCAGTTTCAAAATTTTGAAACATTCTAAAGTTCTTATTAAATGTTTTACACAACTCATATTTCATAATATTAGAGATAAATGTGTTATGTTTAATAAGATTTAATTTATTTGCTTTACAAAATCATTGTTATTTGGGAAAAAAATGGTTTTAATAGAAAAGTCACACATTTTGTGGCCTGTCATGTCATAAAAAGAAATCTTAACTTATTTGGAAGGAATGTAATGTGATTTTAAAAATAAAAAGTGTTTTTTTGCAGAAATTAAACATCTTTATCATTTTAATTTCGACAATAACCATTAGCATTAAAAATTACAATAGTTAATAAAGCTTCATAGTCAATATCCACTTCTTTGTTTGGTATGAGGGTATTGCAATATCATAGTAAATTGGAAGAATGTATAGTGCAGGAGATTTAACACCTTAAAATTTGTTTTCACTTAATTTTAGTGTAGTCTGGTACCTCCAAGAGAATCGCAAGTTAGCCAGCTCTAATAAACTGCATTTTTTTTTTTTCAAATTACCATCTACTGTATGGTTAATGAAAAATATTTATGGGTTCTTAGTGGTATAAGGAAATATTACAGCTGGGGTAGTCAACTGACACATCATACTTCGTTTTTTGGTATCAACCACATTTTGTAAGAAATTACTTCCATATAAAATATTAATGGTTTGTCTTCAATTATTATATAATATTGTGTACTCAATTTTCTTAATATGGCTATCAGTATTATAAAAGCAACAATGTGCTATTTTTTTTCCATAAATTGTTTTTATTAATGCGTTATCTTGATCATTTCAGTTATAAGTCATATCTGTATGATGAAAATGAACATCTACTCTCTGATGTATTGCATCCAAAGAGCTATCATAGCCCAGTTTTAACTCTGTCCTAGGCAGTTATCAATGAAAACTACAAGAAAAGAAATGAATTTTATTTTATTACTTTTTCTAATAATAATTCCTAAAACTATTGCTGCAATAGAATGAAAAGTCACAAATTATTCTTTATTAAACTCACGGATTCTGTAAATAATAAAACTTGGTTTGAAGATTCATAGGATAAATCTTCATCATGATTCAACTAGAAATATCACTAAAATAACATTACTAAAAAATTTTGAAATTGGAGTTAGTCATTCTGTCAACTGAAAGGCTCTGAGACTGAAGTTGTATGGTTTATAAAAGTAGATGGAGTGACTAGATTTTTATTGCCTACCGTCGATATTATAAATAGACTTTTTGTAATTACAATGGTCGTAATGATTTGTTATCTGTAACCTATAAGCTTTAGCTCCATTTAAAATGCATCTCAAACATTTTATAATACCCCAGCATTGCCAGAAAATAATTTCTATTCCATGTAGAGCGGTGAAAGTGTGTTGCCCGCACTAGATTTTTTTTTTAATTTTTAGAGTTCCCATAACATATAAACAAATAATGGATAAAAATTATCCATCTAGAATAGTTTGTTAAAAAGCAGTGGCACTAAAGAAACTAAACAAGTAACACATTTTCCAAAATAAACAATTAAAAATGTATATTTGTTTTCCTTATTTTTGAAACAGAAATAAAGTAACTAGTTTGGAACTACCTAGATATTACTAGCAATAAGTGATTAAAGAAATCTTAGGACACTAAAAATTAATAACACAGTTGTAGAAAACTACAGAAGGATTGTTAAAGGTGTTGTAATATGCAAGAATTAATATTTAACCTATAACAAAGTTGAAAATAAAAAAATTAAATTAAAAATAAATAAAAGCTACCTTATGGTATAATTCAGGTGCAATTCTCATGAATAAGTCCATATTTAACTCATTATGGTGTGTGATGAATGGCTTCGCAGTGGCCCCTCCAGCAATCATATTCATCATAGGGGTTTCAACTTCCAAAAATCCCATTGAATCAAAAAACATTCTTATATAAGAAATGATCTTTGCTCGTACAATAAATTTACTTCTTACTCTATCATTCAATATCAAATCGAGGTACCTCTGCCTAAATCGTGTTTCCTATAAAAATAAAAGATCATGTTTCAGTTAAGGATTACTTTGTCTATTATAGCCTTTTTATTAAATTCCATAACTTAATTCATTTAAAATATAATAATATAAACTGCTCACAAATTGAAGTAGAGCACTTGTTAAAATGTGAATAGTTTTCAAAAAACTTTTTACTTCCCTTAGCTATATATATATATATATATATATATTGTAATTTACAACTTCATAGAAAGTGAGTAAAAAGGATTTAATAAATTAATGTTGAACAATTAAAAGGCAATCTAATTTAGTTATACTAGTGTAGGGAAAAGAAATTGATGGCTGCTCTGTAGTTTCCTAAAAAGGAAAATCCCAAAGAGGAGAGGGACAAAGGTTTTTGTTTTGGCAAGCAGTTGTGTGACTGCAGTGAAGAGAGGTTAAGAGAAGATATCCTATCCTGGCACCAGTGGGTAAAACCCAGAAATAGTATTACCATCTTGGAAGTTGTGTTTGGCAGAACACTAGAAAGTATTTGAAGACAAATGAATTTAGTGCAACAAAGGAAGAAATCGTATCTATAGAAAAAAGGTTAGCTTGCCAATCTATATTTGACTTTATTTTAAAATCAAAGTGTTTAATATAGTTAATGTTAGTATGTCTGAGTGTTTTGATCTGATTGTCAGTAACCCACACCTGAGATAAATAAATATATTAATTCTCTTATAACTTTGTTTATTATTAAACAACCTCTTACTTATTTAGGAAGTATCCCAATGGTAACAAGTGAGCTTCCGAGGTTATTATTATTATTATTATTATTTGTCAAATATAAGAGGGATGTTACATTTTGGCACTTAACTATGCGTGGCCTTATTCTTTAAAAATTAGGTCATGAAAATCAGATTACAACTCAAATAAACAATTTGTTTTAATTGTATTGTTTTTTATTAATATTTTTTTAGCAATATGGAGAATAACCAGAGAGAGATAATGGAAGGTAGAGATCTTAATAATATATTTCTTGGGCAATCTAATGGGGATGTTGTTATAGTAGAAAATAAGGCAGAGTCAGTTTTACAAAGCATACTTGATGAAAATATACAAATATGTGAAAACTTAAACAGTAATTGTACAGGAAGTGGAAGTCTGTCGGGATTAAATGTAGTTCATGAGTTTAGTGAAAATAATGTGGAGGGTGAAAAAATAAATATAAGTAGTAGCAACAATTTGAATTGTACTGATACTAATAATATGTTTGAACAAATAATGGCTATGCTTCATCTATTCAAATGACTGAGATCAACAGTGTTGCTGACACAAACTTGCAAACCGATCTTCATAAATCAGAACAGTTGATTTCGAACTGACTGCTCGGTAACCAAAATAAGCCTATGACATTCCTGTGCCTGCAGACATGTCGGACTACCTAGATCTCAAACTGTCAAATTCGTACACTTAGAATGGACTGCGAAAACTAAGATTATCTTAATTCCAACTGGAGGCATAAAATAAAAAACCTTTTTTCCACCAGTTCTATATTTTTCATAATCAGATATCTCACCAAACTGTGGCTTATACTCATCCAAGTGTAAGCTGTTATAAGTAGTGCATCAGTCTGTTGCATTATAATAATTATTATTTAATGGCGCAACAACCCACAAGGCGTCAGGGCCTCCTGTAATGATTTCCACCAGTTCTGTCTTCTTTGTGCCGCTGCTCTCCAGTTTTTTGTTCCTAGGATGGAGCGGGCTTCCGATGTCACACAATCCTGCCAGCGCAGCCTTGTCGTCCGACTCTTCTTTTGGCTTCGATCTTCTCATTCAGGATCTTTCGAGTTGGCTCCTCTGGGCTCATCCTAGTCATATGACCAGCCCACTGGATGATCATGTCCCTATCTTTGTACATGGTCATTGTTTCTTGGTTTGTTCGCCTTCGGCAGGTGGGCCTCTCTGGATCATAGATTGGTCCCAAAATCCTCCTGAGCACCTATCTTCCAGAGGAAGCGACGCAAATCTTCCTTCTATGCCTTGGTCAGAGTCCACGTCTCAGCACATAAAGTAGGGTGGAAAGTGAAAGTTGTGTGTTGCGGGCACCGCACCAGATTTTTTTCTATTTTGTGACCAAATTATCCTACGATTTAAGTGGAAAGCAAGCGGGTATTCATGACATGAAGATGATGGAACTATTGAGTGATACCCTAATTAGGCCTATGGAGCTGAGAATTGGACTAGAAATGGTCCTAGAAAAATATAAAATAATGACTTTTAGACCCCTGTGGTGGGGCTCCAAACATAGTGCGGAAATAAAAAAATTAACTTTAGGGCCTGCCCGAGGGGTCTAAAACATACTTAGGAAATAAAAAAAAAGAAAACAATTCTTTTTGATGCCAAACATACCACAATTCTAAATAAATAACGATATTCAGGGCCTCGACACCTATTATTTTATGGTGATAAAAATTACAAAAGAATTATATTTACAGTCCACTGGAGGGGACCCTAACATTTGTGGAAATGAAAAAACAAAACGATTTTTTTGGAGGGTGTAACATACCACAGAACTATAAAAAATTATGACTGGGACACTCGAAAGAAGTCCCTTGCTTAGGGGCCCTCAATGGTCCCCAACTAACCGATCTGGCCTGGAGAAGGTTCAACAAAACATTTATTCACTGGACCATCGATTTTATGAATAGTTCAGCTCCAAAACACATTGTGGCACAGATGAAGAAAGAATTTCAAGAATTCAGTTCAGAGGACTGTTCCATGGAAAGTTTGAGAAAGATGGAAATCCCACAATATGTCATGAAGATTTTTGAGTTACTATTCTAAATGAATTTTATGGTATGATTAAGACTCTAAATCAAGAACTATTAACACAGTTGAAATAGATGGATACATATATTAGTTATAAAATAAAATAAAAAGTATTACATTACAATTTACCTTATCTTTAAGACCAAAATGAAGATGAGGAAGCATATGAAGGCATGGTGACAAAAGTGTTATAGATTTAGGTATTAAGGAAAGCTCCCCTTTTTTAGTTTTTCCAGGATAACCAAAACAGCCAATTATATCACCCCTTTTAATTTTTTCAGTATCAATAAAAAAATCCTCTTCTGTTTTATACAATTTGGCATTAGCCATTACTTGAAGTTTTAAACCTTCACCACGCAAATCATAAAAGATCAATTTTGAACCAGATTCTCGAATTGCATGAACTCTTCCTGCAAAAAAATTAACAAGAGAATTAATAAGATACTTTATAAACTAAGCTTTCCCTTTCACTTAAACTGTATTTTATCAGGTTAGAGATAAAATGGGTCAACTGAGAAAAAATAAATTTTGGATTTAGTTACAATTTGACAGACAATTTTGTCAAGCTCTCTTATTTAGCGGATAAGAGACTTGTAGTTAACCTCTAGTTCCAGTTCTGCTTTGACCAAATTCAATTAAACTGAATGCCAAGAATTTTTCTATTATTTTTATTCAAAAAGCAAAAATTATTACAATAGTCGAAGAAAAGGATGGTTGGGGTGATCAGTCAAAATAAAAAAATAGTGGTCAATCCAAGAACTGTGGTAAGACCTTCTTTTGGTGAGCTTCTTACCAAGTTTCTTGGATTGACCAGCCCTGAACTTGAGGCCAAAACGTCGACAAATGTAAAATAAATATAATTATTTATTTTTACTATTTTTTATTTTGACTGATCATTCCAACCATCCTTCTCTTCAATTATTCACTTGTCAACCATCAATCCACAATTATTACAATAGTCATACAATTACCATTTACAATCTATTCACTTTGTCTGGTAATTTGGAGATTTCTCTTTATAATATTTATTTTAACTGTGTACAATATTAATTCCATTGCTTTCCAAAGTTGTTGCACGAAAGGTTCAACTTTAAACTGAAAAGCTTTCAATATTATTATATCATTTGAAAAGGAATTCCATGTTCTTTTTAGCAATAAATGGTTGTATTACGGTTTCCAGGAAGAGATTTGAGCTATGTCTACTTTTATACAAACTTGTGAGTTTAATTTAATTGTATCAGTGATGGTGTATAAATAATTGATCATAGTTCTAATTTAAGAGGGGGGAGGGTGTGACCATTACCAGGACTCCAGAAGCATATTTACAAGAGATCTCTGGGCCACTGCCGTTTTAACCTTCGTGGAGGATTGTAGGGATGAAGGGAGCTGGATAGGGATTGAGCTAGAGGATTTGGATGATGGATAAGGTTCTTGTGAAATTTTGAGAATCTGGATGGGATGATATCAAGGACAAATGGGATGTTAAGGTCACAGTGTAAGTAAGGTCTTGTTTGTGACATAACATGGGGCATTGACTATTGTTCTAAATACTTGATATTCAGATTGAATATTTGATATTCAAATGTTTCACAGTTCCCCACAGTTCAAGTTCATAGGTCCAGATAGGTTTCAGTATGGTCTTGTAGATTAAAACTTTATTTTCAATCGATCAAAGATGAGTAGTCAATATAGCTGGCCATATCGTCAGTTAAGTTCTTGTCTTTTAAGTCTCGTAGGTGGGTTCCAAGTTAGTCTTTTGTCTAGAAGGAACCCAAGGTAACGGACTGTATCTGAGTAGAGAAATGGTATTGAATTGAAAAGGATTGACGGACAGGATCTGCGTCGCAGGGTGAAAGTGATATGTTTGCATTTCGTTTCATTGATTTTGATGCGCCAGTTGTTGCACCACTGCTCAATCAAGGAGAGGTGAGATTGTAGGTTTAGAGATATTTGAGGATCCGGGTGGGAAGAAAGAATGGCAGAATCATCAGCAAATGTAGCTAGGAAGATATCGGGATTTGAAGGGATATCGACAGTGAAAAGGATGTAGAGAATTGGACCCAAAACACTGTCTTGTGGAACACCTGCTTCAACTGGATAGTAAGTAGTGAATTCCGTGCTGCAACGGATTTGGAAGGAACGATTTGAGAGACAGGATTTGAGGACTAGGTATAAGGATTGGGGTAAATGGGTTTTGAGCTTGAAAAGCAAGCCATCGTGCCACACCAGGTTGAAAGCTTGCGCTACGTCCAGAAAGGTACTAGTGCAATATTGCTTGTTTTAAAGTGCAGAGGATATATGGTCCATTACACGAAGGCCTTGTTGGACAGTGAAATGTCTTGAGCGGAATCCAAACTGATGGGAAGGGACGTTGTGGGATTCGAGTATGGGTAGGATGCGTTTGAGAAGGATATTCTCAAAGATTTTTGGGAGGATCGGGAGTAAGCTTATCGGTCTGTAGGATGATGTGTTATTAACAGGTTTGTCTGGTATTGGGAACAGGACGATTATGGAGTGTTTCCACATCAAAGGAAAGTTGGTTGTACGAAGGATGCAATTGCATAGAAAGGTCAGGAATATAATTGCTTTTTGGGAAGTCATCCAAGGATTTGTGAAGTAAGTAGATCATATCCAGGGGATTTTCAGGGTTATAATTTGTTTATAAGGAATTTGACCTCAGAGGGGTTTTGGAGGTAGAGAGAGAGAGGAATTAGTGAAGAGAGGAATTCTTTAACTTCAGCAGTGTGGGTAGGATGGAGTTTGGGATGGGGAGTGAATGTGTAGGATAGATGTTTAGCAAACTCTTCAGCTCTATTCACATCTGACGAAGCCCAGGAACCATCATCAGGAGGGGGTGGGATGTGGACTGGAATTTAAGGATTTTTTTAGTTACATTCCAGAGGGAGTTATCACTAGATGATAATGAGGAATTGTAGGATTGGGTTCTAAAGGTATCCAGTTTCTTTTTTACCTGTTTGGAATAATAATTATACGATTTCCGGTCATCTGGATGCCTGGTTCTTTGCCAGAGGGACCTAGAGCATCGTTTGCTATGGATAAGATCTAATAGGTCTTGGGGTAGAGCATTTATACTGTGTTTTTTGGGAAGATCAGGTAAGGATGCAGTCCAAACTGCTTGCTGGATCAGGATAGTGAAGGAGTCCACTGCATCATCAAGGTCTTCAGGTGTCTTTAAGGAAACTCTGAGGTCTATATTATCATCCAGTATTCGATGGAAAAGGTTCCAGTTAACTGATCTCCTGATAAATGAAGGAGGGGATGATTTAGGAATGGGTGATGTGGAAACGGTTAGGATTAGAGGACTATGGTCTAAGGAAAGATCATCAAGCCTTGAAATGGAACAGTGTAGTGATCCTAGACCTTTGTGTATGAAAAAGTCTAGAAGGTCGGGATTGCGGTTGGGATCTGTTGGCCAGTATGTAGGATTATTAGGTGAAAGGATGTGGCTGCGATGGGAATTAAGTGCAGATAGCAGTGTTCGCCCTCGGGAATTGGTGGATCTGGCTCCCCATTGTTGGTGTTTTGCATTTAAATCTGCACCTGGGAGGAAGTGGTGTCCTAAGGAATTCAGGAAGAAAATTATTTGGGATTCGGAAATAGGTATTTTGAAGTTTGGATTATTAAAGGTATTTTATTATTAAATTAAATGGATTATATTAAAGGGAAGTTTGGATTATTACGGCAGTGGATTGTAGGAAATTATGGGTTGGTAAGGAAAATAAATGATGGGAGAGAGATCGATGAATAATTATGGCAGTGCCAGCATGTGCTGTTCCATCAGGACGATCGGTTCGATAAATATTGAAGCCAGGAACATTGATTTGTCGTTTGTTGGTTATTCGGGTTTTAGTTATTGGTGCTATGTCGATGTTTTTGATATGTAATAAGATTGTCAGTTCGTTGATGTGATTTCAAATACCATTCGCATTCCATAGGAGAATGGAGAGGGATTTGGTTAAGGACATTTATGGATTTCTCGGCGGTGGAATGATGTTGGATATAACATTGGTAAGTAATAAATAACAGGGGTGATGAGAGATCTAAATTCAGAGAGAAAAGATGTTAATAGGCTTGTGAGGTCAGTGGAATTGGAAGGAGGAGGAATGAATGTCTGGGTATTGAACCTAGGTTCAGGGATGGAGGGATATGGGTCATGGGTCTTGAGGTTGATATGTGAATTCTCGAGGTTGAGGTTCTTAGGGCAGGGCCTGAGATTGAGAGTTTATAGTGCCTCCTTTGGACATCTGAGCATAGGAAACTCTTCCGTTCACTGTTCTAGAGTGTTGTCTTGGTGGCCTGGATGTCCCTCCTTCTCTAGGAGTTGTATACATTCTTGTTTTTAATCCTTTATATGTTTGACAACCCTTATAGTTGGCTGGGTGCCCTTGGTGGCATAAAGCTCATACTGCAGGTGTTTTTCTAGACTTCTTGCAGTCCTTTGATTTGTGCTGCTCACCACACCTCACACATCTAGGAATGTGATGGCAATACTGTTTTGTATGGCCATAAGCCTGGCAGTTATGGCACTGAACAATGTTGCGCTTGGTGTAAGGCTTTCCTACAACAACACTAATGTAATAAAGACGTGTGACCTTGTAGATGTCTTCGACCTGGGGCGTTCGGTCAAGGTCAACGAGGAATAGTGGAAGCGGTATTTTATTTTTTATGCCAGGCTGTTCTCTATCTTCCTTGAATATGTTCACTATTTGGTGAACATGGAATCCCATACCAATGAGCTCTTCTTTTATAGCATCCGTTGGTATTGATGGATGCAGTCTTTTGATAACATCCCTGAGCGCCTCCTCTTGACGCAGTTGATATGTGTGATAATCACCCTTGGTGTCAGATAAATATCGTATTATTTTTCTATAGGTTTCTGGATTGTCGGGCATTAATTTAGTGTCATTAGTGTGGTTGAACGGGTTATGAGTGAAAAACGGCGATTCTTCACCAGCCTGAGTTGACTAATGATTGTTATGTTATGAGGTGGCTGATTGGGGTTCCACTTCTTCAACAGAGCTCCCTGTTGTGGCTGGTGGGGTGTTTCTTTTCGAACGCCTTGTCCTTTTTTTAATAGGAGAACTTGTAGTATTGAGGCTCCTAGACCTAATGTTCGTGCCCTTGCTCGACATTAGCATGTGATAATATTGCATTTCGTATTAAAATTGAAAGAAAAAATTGTTAAATGAGAAGCGAGAAAAAAAATTGGTTTTTTAACACGAAAATATATACCTGTGCTTAGAGAGGACTGATTAGCAGAGACCTTCCTCCGACGAAGAGCTGCAGCCCACTGATGGGATAAACAATCTATATGGCCGGCCGTTATCAATAACTAACCTGAGGTCTATTTACACTGTTCACTAATGAGCTGTAAATAAGTGATTAAAAAACTCACCTTATTCTTTTGTTCAGTATCAAACTTAATTGTTAATGTAACTGATAACACTATTGTTTCACATTGAACTTGAACACTACCACTATTCACAGAGAATTTATAAGAGACAACCTGATGTATGTTTAACTAGGGCTAACGTATGTGCAGAACTGAGATAATTAACTAGAGGAGATATATGAGATTGTAACAGAGAAACCATGAGTTGTAATGAAGGAACCAAAGGGATACGAGCGCAGCCTAGCTCACATGAAGATTAGAACAGGCCTCCATACATAACAAGAGCATAATAAAATACGAACTCCGACAATATTATGTACATATACATATGCTGTTTTCCTAAATAACAAATTCCAGCTAATTAAATATTAAAATTTGTATATATATATATGGGTACTTAAACAAATAAAAATATCTACAATGAAATATAAATCAATATAGCGTTTATAATTTTTACTTTCATTTCCCCTTAATCTGAAAATAATTATTTCTGAAAAGAAGAGGGTGGTAAATGAAAGTTGTGTGATGCGTGCACCACACCAGATGATTTTTTAAAATTTATTATTTTTCTTTTATTAATAACTTTTTTTTATTTTCTAGCAATTAATTTTTGGAAAATACTCTGAATTTTCCCTGCATGCAGACACTCTGTAAAAAGCTTTTTACAATTTCTGGAATGAATCTAACAACCACCACCTTGACCGTCTTCTTGATTTATAACTATTATTTATATCACAAGACAATGGATATACTTGGTCAAATATTGCCAAATTTCATAAGTTATTAATTACAAGCTACATTATAAAATTCTATCTTTGAAAATGACAATATTATATTTTCGAAATAAGTTTTTCAAGATTTTGCTATAAAAGATTTAAATAAATGCTTAATCACTATCAATGGGTTTTATTGATTGGTTAACCATCAGATACATCTCATACTTGATGATTGACCAATCATTAAAACCCATTGATAGTGATTCAGCGGGAAGCCTAATCTTTGACTGCAAAAAACTCAAAAAATTATTAGGGACATGCACTGTTGTCATTTTCAGATATTCAATTGAAAACTTAATTAAACTCCCGAAAAGACTATGAGAAAAAACAGTAGGTAGTCCTTTTACAGTTACTTACCTGCAATACTTAATTCTTTGGTTTCAACAGTCTCACCATCTTTTAAATAACTATAGGTAGTAATGAAGTCATCTAATGATGTAGAAACATGGAATTTATGTGGGTATGGGTTTTCATTACTCTCTTTTAATTTCTGGACTGCCAAACTGCGAAGTTTGAAATACTCCTGATAAATAAGGAAAACAGTAAGTATTTAATGATGACTAACCAAGAAAATTATAAATGCAACATTGCATACATTTGGGCTTATATTACTTTCATCTACTTTAATTAATTTCTCTTTGACTTTTTCATTAGTTTTACTTTTCTCTTTTGCTGCCTTTTCTTTTTCTTTTTGTTCAGCCTTCTGTCTTCTTTTCAGTTCACTGAAATTAAAAATGACTTAGTTGACTTAATATAAAAATAAATAAAAAAATAATTATCAATATAAAGTAAGTTCATCACATAAAACTAACCAAGTAAAAATATTTTTTCTGGAAATATGATGACGAAATAACGTATTTCCCCATTTAACAGTTAAAGGTTGTATAAAGTAGCACAAAGAAACAGAAACCATTGTGACAACCTAGGAAATGTTGCTTATAATGTAATAACTAATAAAACAAGTTGTAAATATCAATTTTCATAATTTTATTAAAACCATTGCAATGCTTCAAACCTCTACTTAAGAACTTTAAGGTTCCTAAAAAAAAAAAATCAATAAATAACATAATAGGTAAATAAAAAACCAGCAACTTTTGAACTTGACTTATATATGTGTATAGTTGTACAATAAACAATTACATAGATACATTTTTAGGGTTAAACATTTTTTTTAGGATTAAAAAAAAATGGTGATAAAAGACTAAGATCCAAAGTTTTAAATTAAAAATTGAACAAAATATTTCTACATTTGCTCATAAGTACCAAGAATACAATTTAGAAAAGCAAAACAGGAGTGAGCTAATGTTAAAATTTTATTGTAATCAACGGCTTTTTCTTATATTGAAGAACACCTGAACACTAGACCAGTAAAACAACAATATGGATAATGACACGGTCTACTAGGTATTTTAAAAACAACACTACCCATAAAAAAACCGACATGTTTTTGTAACAGATGGAACTCGTTTGAAATGTCAAGGCATGAAGTTAAAAACTATAAAGTACGACGACAGAATAATAATCAAATCTATTTACATCATAAATTGAAATAACCACTTTGCGAGGAGAATAGGACGTCACAACAGTGCTGTTGGTGGATTGGAACTGGATAAAATGAGTTTTAAATTTCATTAAAACCAGTTAAAGTTCAAAGGAGATGTTGGTTCTAAAATCAGACATTTTCAAGACAATGCATGCTAAAGCTAGGCCCATTATAGATAAGACTGCAGATGCCACAATTGTCATGTCATACATATCACATGTTGTTGAAAGTTTATTATTCTTTCCCATGAAAGTAAACTAATTAAATACAAAGTTAACTGATTCTATTTTCATGGAGGTATTGGATGATTAACTTTAAGCTATCTTAAAGATAATTATAAGATATAGAAAGAGAAATATTATTGAAGAAAGTTAGTCAACTGTACTACATATCACAGGAGATAAATAATCAGGATGCACTGATTTTTGAGATTTTTTGGTTCTTACATATTAAAGTCAACGCAGCAAAAATTCTGCTAATGCACCAACAAAGAGTTGTTCGCTTAGGGCAACTTTGTTGTTTGCAAACAACAACAAACTAGAACAACGAGAACTTGTTCATACTCGCACAAAATTATCTTTGGTTTCCTAGTTGCCTTGTTGTTTACTGATTTTTGACCCCATTTTTTAGTGCTACGAAATATTTGAATGTGGGATAGTGCTAAATGGAGGAATAACAGACATAGGGAGACGGCGAGATATCATAAAATCCTATTTATCAGAGTTCATATGGCTACAGCATCAGGTGAAAGAAAATAGAGACTGTTTTGAATCTATATTAAATTAAAAACGTCCATTTTCTGCCAAAATCTGATTGACTACTTTACATAAATAAAATATTATGATTTTACATAAAGTTTTTATTCTTTAATATGTTGTAAAAACTTTGGGTGTAGATTGGTGCATTAGCAGAATTTTTGCTGCGGTGGCGTTAATACGTAAGTACTGATTTTTTATATTTGCTGACCAAATATATGAGTCATCATCAGGGCTTAAACAATTTTGTAAATAACATTTGAGGTACTAAACAGAAAATAGTACTGGCAAATAGTGATGGATGATACATGAGATAGCAAGTGGAATACTTAATAATAGGTTATACATAATATAAAATAAATTATATAATCAACTAATAAAATGTGATATTTGATATTACTAACCATGTTTGCAGTACTGAAGGTGTTAAGTACCCGCACCTAGGTAGTAGGGAAGTAGGAGAAAAGTTCCTCGATGTGCTTCTAAGATAACAAAGTTCTAAGGACAAACCACTTTGTATATATATATATATATATATATTTTTTTTTTCGGTTGGCACTGCAGACCATGAAGATCTTTGGCCGCGTGATGTGGTCTCCTTACAGATGTATGTTGCTTGCAGGAGCTCAGATAGCCTGGAGGGGCCCACCCAACCTCACATTGCTATGAAGCATGGTCTTCATGGTACAGCGGCAGGCCACCCATAGCTCCATAGCCGATGCCTTTGGACCAATCTGGCAGTATCGTTCGAATAGACTCACTTGGGTTCATGCACAGTGACAAATCGGTTTAGATCCATGGATTATGGCTGCTTAGAGACAGCAGGCACACGAGAACCTATATTTCTTTTCCCGAAACAGACCCAGTTGGGAATCGAACCCACAACGTTCAAAACAGAGTGCTCTGGGACCTATACCCCAACATGCTCACCCATCCCTTCCTCAAGCAATAAAGTTACTGGAACCCTAGTTTGTTATCTTAAAAGCACATCTGGGAAAATTAATAACTTAAAAGGTTTACGAAGCAAGATAAAAAAAAATTATACTGGATACAGAGTGACTAATTTTGAATGAATATCGAAGTATCATTACATTTTTTTGTTATCACTAATACATGATCCAGATGTGTTAGTGAGAAGAAGGATCATATTATATTGAAATTCATATAACCTGATAACACTTTTATTCATGTATGTATAAGCTTCTCAATTTGACATTTTCGATTACAACCAGTACTTTATAGTATAATTGTTTTTATGGCAGTTTAAATTTAATTAGTGTAGAAACAATGCTTTCCAAGCCGATAATGGTATATGAATGTACTGTCTTCTAGCCTGCTATTTACTACTATGAACAGTACATATAATTTTGTGAATGGTGACCTCCTCCAGCGAGATGTGGCCCAACAAATAAGCTAAAAGAGGATTTGGTAGGATTTCAGGAAAATCGCTTGAAGAGGATTGTGATGGACTCCAACAAATGGAAGAAGAAAGAAACAGGCGAATACAAATAAGGAATAGAGCAGATAGTGGGTGGCAGACCCAAAAGGGGGTACAATCTCGGTCACGTAAAATGACATTTACCAGACTACAGGGTTTCACAATGACAAAACAGTTTTTGAGCCAAGCTTTAATCATAGTCTTGGACAGGATCTTGATACCCAATGATACTTGCAGTGTTCTGGAGACTGTTGAGAATGTGATCACGGACTTGCACTGCATTCAAGGCATTTATGATAATCTCTGAAATATTCGTTTATACTCAAAAGTTTCTTCAGTTGGTGAATAATAAAAACTTTTCACAGTTCAAAAAATTCATTTATGGTTGTAAGAAAGTAGTATGTCCTACCCATTTCAATCTTGGAGCTCAAAGAAAAAAAAGACACTGATGTCACAAGGAAGACCAGGAGAATATTAAGGTTGTGATAAGGTGAAGACCTCAAAATATTTAGAAGACATTATGATATCAGTGAAATACTGTTATCAAATCCAATATTTTTGCCAAAGTAATTCGTTTATAAAGCTTAAAATAAATTTTAAAAGGGATGGCAGTCATGAAAAGACTCAAAATAGTGTAAACTATTTTAAGTGTTTTATGACTGCCACCCAGGACCATATCCTTCCTCAATTATTTATAACAGTCAACCATTGAGTATTCGATTAAAATATATTTTTAAAAATTATATTAAGAAAATTTACAACTCAACTTTAAATGTTATTCTAAATTAAATACAATGTGGTATGTAATGATTTAAATATAAATTCATACATTTTACTTTAACCACTTTTACATCTGATTTGATTGTTTTCATCAATGTTTTAAATTTGTTTACCATCTGTCAAATATCCAACACAACTTAAAAGGAAATAATTAGGGATAAAAAAGAATAAAATGATTAAGTAAACAATATACATACATGTATATATATAAATATATATATATATATATATATAGAGAGAGAGAGAGAGAGAGAGAATTATCGCAAATAATAAGTAAATATTTGAGGAATGATATGGTATGAACGATATTGTATTAAAATCCAAACCTTACTTTTTAGATAACTTTCCCTCAACATCAGCCATGCTTTCAATATTTAACCACAGTTGAAACCTGCAGAGTAGGTTATGAAGTGAATATAAGTAACCTATAAAGTTGGAGCCAATTTTGACAAGCTCCTAAAATCAGCGTTGAGCTCATTGAAAGCATTGAGAACCCATCAGACTGTTTCTAAACTCATGGCTGAATCCATAAATGGATTTCAACGTATTCTTTTATTTGACTGATTCACCGATAGCTCTGACGTTGGGTCGGCGTTTGTGACCTGTAACCGCTGGACGTTATTATAATCTCTGTTATGTTGTATTTATGTTTTGAAATTCAATGTAGAACTAGTGGATCCAGGATTTAATTTTGGGGGAGGGGCTTCAGCCCGAAAGCTTTTTTTCATAAAAATAACGATAATTACTTTGGAAAAAAAGAAAGTAACGAACTAACTGTATGAAATCGTATTTAAGTGATTCCTAAAGCCCTTTTAATATTAATCGCACGAACAATAATACTTTAAGAGATACTTTTTGTACATTTTTTTCGATAAAACATGGTTATATTTTCCCATTTTGGGGGGGCTTCAGCCCGAAAGCCCTCCCCATCCGTAGATCCGCCCGTGCAATGTAGTACAATTGTATAGAAACTCAACAATATAGGAGGTAGATATTTCCTGATTTTATAATTTGTGTTTTTTAACCTTTTTGAATTATTGAAGGAAGTTAGTCGACTGTTCTACATACTATGCATAACAGTCAGGAAGTAGCCATTGTGAATTTTTTAAATATATTTTTTAACCTTTTAAGAGTGTTAACTTGCTCCAGAATCCAGCATGTCTTTTCTAAAACTCAGCATAAACAGCTGTCCCTCTGTGCTGGATTCAATTGATTAATGGATGCCTTCGATGAAATTAGCGCTTAGGTTAGGAACTTTCTATAATATAATTATAAAGTTGTTATAAAATATTAATGTTTAGACAAGAATACAGAATTATGAAACTCTTAAAACAAGCAATTATTTTCAAAATAATGATTTTTACAACAAATTGATTATACACCGTTCTCAGCGATTTCACAGGCTACAACACAAATATGATATCTAAGCAACATGTCAACACATTACTTCCAGGTGAACTGTCATTTATTCAGTGGAGCTTAAATACCAATAATTAACATGACTCCATCAGATCTACAGAGTTTATCTAAATTGCTGAATTGTGGTGGTGATGAATCATCGTCAAGTGATGACGAACTGCCGAAAACAGGATATAATACAGCCGGTATTAATTATAAAATTAATTTATCTTTGCTTAAGATAACCTATGGTAGTTTCATTTTAAAACATTTGCAGGTCCAGGAGACATATTCCAGAAGGTAAAAATAACAGGAAATGAGGTAGGTCATAATATAAATACGATTTCCGACGATCCTAAAAGTATTTGGCATTTATCAGAAGTGCAAGAAGTTCCAATTTCCGATGATGTTTTATGGGACCCAAGAGAAAAACCTAAATATGACATTATGTACAAACAAGCATTGAAGTCTGAAGATATATATTTACAAGTACGTAAGTTATTAAAAATTACCGTTAAAAAATCTCCATATAGCTGGACAGAAAGATGAAGCGCTTCCTCTTTCTGTCCTCCCATTAGGAGATTTCTTAATGGTCATTGTTATATAAACTGCTAAACCATGACAAAAGAAAAGATCCATAGTAACATCTTGGTCATTGGACACCTAGATTCAGGTAAATCTATCGCTACTGGCCATATCATTTACAAATGTGGTGGTTTCGATAAACGTAGTTTAATAATTTACTCTTTCTCGAACTTTTCGATAGAAGTTCGAGAAAGAGTAAATTATTAAACTTTTTTTTTTTTTTACGAAATTATATGTTTCTTTTTTAATTCAATTTGTGTTTAGCATTTCTAAGTTAATTGTAATCTTTTCCATTTCAACTGTAACTCAGGATCAGTGTTGCCAGGTGTTCTGTGGCAAATCTTCGTACATCCTCGTACGCTTGCTCATTGAAAATTCCTGCTATTATAGGCCCAATGTTTTTTAAAGCCTTTTTACATTTTTTTTTTTTAAAGTTAATGGGTCAAAAAGTAAAATGGGTTTAATTTAAGGCACGAAATTAAATATATAAAAAAGAGCATATATTTTTAGAAACTATTAGAAAACTATAAAAATCAAAATAGCAAAATAAACTTTTTAAAGGAAATAATATTCCTATCATTATTAAAAATAAGGGGAAAACAAATTATTATGACTTAATCGCATTATGATAAACACATTATTATGAAAATCAAAGTTCGAAACTAGGTAACATATAATTGAAATTAATAAATATTAATTTTTATTACATTGAACTTAGCGGAGCTGCGATCCTGTCACAATGACTGGACCGGAGCAGCTGATCACAGTGACAGGCGCACCGAAATCACAGTGACCGTTGCTGTAGGCACTTTGAAATCACTGTACTCCAACAGTGGTGGTCACAAGGTCACTGTGAATTCACTGCGCCCCAACAGTGACAGTCACTGTTAGTGATGGGGTGTAACAGAGATTTTCTGTCACAACTCCGACAGTGACAGCTCCGGGAAAATCACTGTGACAAATCACAGTGATTTTTTTTCCGGTGTCAAATATACAATGGCTCCTTGGCGAAAGCGTCACTGTGAAATTATGGTTTACATGTTTAAACTTTATATATATATATATATATATATATATATATGCATATATTTTTTTTTTTTTTTGTACTTCTCTACCTCGCCTTTTAGGCTCTTCGGGATTTTCCCGGGTTGGGGAGTGAGGGCGGGAAAATCCTCCTACTTTTTAAATCTTCTCAAATCTGTAATCCGGTGGCCAGGAAACTCGCGGTGCTGTGCACACGCCTTAGCCCATTCGGCCACCCCGCCCCCGTTTAAACTTATATTAAAATAATTTTTTTTTCCTCTGATAAATTTTATATTTGATGGGGGAAAATATCTTTGGGATCCTTTGGTTTCTGTGTACAGCCCTGCAGAGAATATTTGAATATATTTAATTTTTAATTAATTTTTTTATTTATATTTCAACAGTTAAATGAAAAACTTCCTGTTAATTATTTCAGACATAACTCATTCAGAAATATATGACAATGAATGCTCAATTCATCTGAAGTTCAAAAAGTATTTTTAATAAAATTTGACGAATAACTATTATTTTAGAAATAATTATTTCATGATTATTTCTTTAATTCATTTATTAAATTAATGAAGTCAACAATGCCCAGATTGCTAGAACGAAAAAGAAGTGATAGAGCGGAGTGGTCAGAGCTGTGATTTCACAGCGCCTACAGTGACCGTCACTGTTGGAGCACAGTGATCGTCACTGTTGGCGTACAGTGATTTCACAGCGCCTACAGTGACTGTCACTGTGATCAAATATTAAATTTATCACTGAAATCCTACCTTCTCATTAATAATGAATGTAACAAAAATATTGTTTAAAGATATTACGTAATTATTATATAATATACATGAGGTTATATTTAACCCTCCTTCTACCCCCTATTCTCAGCACATTTTACATTTAGTTAGTAAATTTCATTTAATTTTCTTGAAAACATGAAATATGATGTCTTCAAGGAAATTAAATGAAATTTACTAACTAAATGTAAACTTTAAAAAATATTTTTACGTTTGTAGAAAGTATTTAAAATCCATTTTGAATATTTAATAGTTGACCGTTGCATTATAAAGGAAGGAGATGGTCCGGGGTTGCGTTCATAAATAGGCTAAATAGTGGTAAAACTATTTTGTTGAAAGCCGACGTTTCGACCTGACTTTGCAGGTCTTCATCAGGGCTAGAATGGACAAGATACAAAAAGATAGAGAATTGCGGCAGTTACATAATATTTTGACATAATTTATAAACTATGTGAATAAGCTTTTTAAAATTATAAACAGTAAGTACAATAAAATATGAACAAAGTAAGCTGAGTAACAAGATCCTAAACTGAAGTAAATAGATGCTAACAATTGTTGTAGTCTAATATATAATAAATGAAAATGTGAATATACTTCTACAAAATCTACAGGAGAGATTGAAAAAAAAATAAATAAAAAAAAGGAAAAAGGATATAATATGAAATAATAGACATAAAGGAATGTGGAGAAAGATAAGAAAAAGAAAACCAAAATTAGATAAATAAGTAAGTAAAATTGGAAGAATAAAATTAGAGACTTACAGGTGTGTGTTGAATAATGGAGAGAAGAATAGTTGGGATGATCAGTCAAATAAGAAGGCAAAAATAAATTATACTATTTATTTTGACATTAGCCGACGTTTCTACCCGAAGTACGGATTCGTAGATTTATGTAAATCCGTAGATTTACATCTCCGTAATCAGCCCTGATGATGGCCTGAACTTCAGGTCAAAACGTCGGATAATGTCAAAATAAATTAGTGAATAATTTGATGATTTTTTTCCTTTGCGATATTCTAACAGAATCCACTTACAATTACTGTGACAACTTTTGACCTGTCTATGACAGACAATGCAAATCTATTTATTCCGTTTTACTAAACTCTGCAATGGAAAATAACAGTTTAATAACTACAAGTCGTACAATCCATAATCAACGGATCGAACCATAATCCATAATCAACGAATCGTAAAATCCATAATCAACTGGTGATATAATAAATAGGACTTTTGTTATTTTAATAGTATTTATGATTTGTTAGCCGCAATATTATAGCTTTAGCTCAGTTAAAAATGGAATTCAAAAATTTTATAATAGCCCAACATGGCCAGAAAATAATTTCTATTCAAAGATGAGTTCAAAGTGTAAGTGAAACTTGTGTGTTGTGCGCACCAGATTTTTTTTTATTGAATCTCCTTCAATATTATTAAAACAGTGTCAATAATTGTACATGTAAGGGCTATATTGGGCAATATTAAACCAAATATACAGATCCTGAGAAGCTCTGGGCGATACCAAATTTTCGATGTTCCTGACAATATCCATTTGACTCGGGAGCAGTGGGCTAATAACCCGCTCTCCTTAAATATAAACTATTATGAGATCACAAAGAAATAAACCCGAGTGATCAATGGTGATAGACATGGCAAACGTCAAATGGACTTTAGACTAGGATATTGGAATATTCCATCGTTATACAGATCAGGAGAACTTCAGGTCCTCCTGACAGAATTGGACAGCTATAGAGTGGACATAGCCGCTATCCAGGAGGTCCATTGGGTGGACAGCGGTCTTATTGAGAAGGAGAACCAAACCATCTATTATAGCTGCCACGGAAAGAATCATACATTCGGAACTGGATTCATAGTGAGAGGGCGAATGAGACACCATGTTATTGGATTCTCTCCCATTAATCAAAGACTTAGTACCCTTCGTATCAAAGAAGTGTTTTATAATTACAGCCTTATTAGGTGTCATGCCGAATTATACCGAAGTATCGAGCGAAGAGGAGAAGGAGAACTCCCACCACACATTAGATAGAGCTCCCGACGAACGCCCTAAAAATCCTGTTGGGGGATTTTAATGCTAAATTCGGGAAGGAAGAAATATACATACTAACTATTGGCCTTCACAGTATCGAGTACAAGAAGAGTACAACGACAATGCGAAGAGTTGTAAATTTTGCTGCATCTCGAAACATGATTCGCCGATTGTAAAATTGGAAAATACCAAGCTGGTTTAAGGAAGGGTAGATCTCCGGACGATTCTAGAAAGAAGTCCTGAGTATAAAATTCCCATCCATCATCTGTTTATTGACTTCTAGAGCACCTACAATACCATAAGGAGATACAAGTTGTATGAAGCAATGGAAGAACTAAACATCCCCTCTAAACTATTTCCGAATATTCATTTTCAACCTGGGTAAGTATTTTATTTTTTTCTCCTTTATTCAATTATCAAATTCTTCCAATAGTTATATTTATCATTTTTCCATAACTCCTACCAATGATAAATAGTTATTATTTATCATAAAGCAAATTAAAGGTACTTTAGAGGAAGATATGTTGGGATTTCACTAAGGGAAAATTCATCAAATTATTCACTACTTTAATGTTCTATAAAGTTACATGAAAATTTTTCGGAATAAACGTTGATACCTAATTATTTAAAGGTAATAACAGATCTATAATCAATAAAATACTGTAAATGTATTTAAGGTTATAAATATATGCTTTATACACCCATGAAATGATTTTATATTTTACTTAAAAGTACAATGAAAGAGTTTTTTTAACAATGCCATTGCCTCGTTTAGTGAATTTTAAATACTTTCTACAAACGTAAAAATATTTTTTAAAGTTTACATTTAGTTAGTAAATTTCATTTAATTTCCTTGAAAACATCATATTCCATGTTTTCAAGGAAATTAAATGAAATTTACTAACTAAATGTAAACTGGGTTGGGAATAGGGGGTAGAAGGAGGTTTAAATATAACCTCGTGTATATTATATAATAATTACGTAATATCTTTAAACAATATTTTTGTTACATTCATTATTATTTTTTTTCCTGTTCTTCCCTACCTCACCTTTTAGGGATTTTCCCGGGCCGGGGGGTGAAGGCGGGGAATATAAATTCCCTCCGGCACCGGGACGCGAACTCCTACTTTTTAAATCTT